CACACACACACACACACACACACACACACACACACACACACACCTGGCTTTCGTGCTTTAAAGCATGAACTCACAACTTCTTGGTTCCTAGGCCAGTATCTTTATTGCTAAACCGAACTAGCTTATGCAAGAAAGTGGAACAGCACTTTCAGGAATATGTGCATGTTTTCTCTCTAACTTTTAATAGAGAAAGTAGTGAAGACCCAGTCATTATAGTGTAGTCACAGCTCTTTTTATTTCTTCTCTTAAGCTACTGCCAACATTTCTATAGAACTCTCTACATATGAACATATCTCAAGTCTCCAAAACTAATTCCTACTACAGAACCAAAAAAATAATCCTAATGTCTCTCAGGACAAACCAGTCATTCTGGGTCGGGCATGACCTAAATCAAGGGTACTTTTTATTTCTTGTTTTTTTTAACTGAAGAAACAATTTATTCAGGTCCCTTCCATTGCACCCCTCAAGCTCTGATGATCCTTTATGTTTGATCTCTACTGGAGAGCAGTTTCTGGCCAGTCAATTAGGCCCAGCCATGTCTACTGCAGGGAGGCCAAGTGGAGGCAAACGAGTAAAGCAGTATCATGCTGCTATGATGCAAGTTCCATTCCTTTCTACGTGAATTGTGATATCACATACAAGTACCAAATAGGCTCAGCTTATAGCACAATGATGTTTTTGACTTTTGATAAAAGCATTATATACTGTGGATGACTTTTCCTACTATCTCCATGATCTCATCATGTTCCAAGATGCTGTAACTGGGGGAGGGGGAGACAGTCAGCAATCTGCCAACACTTCAGACATTCAATGTTCTTTTCCCCCTAAACTTCCCATATTTTTGTTTTATGTAAGCAAAGCAGAAGTGAAAGGAGTATTTTAAGCCTATTTTGGCTTTAGGAATATATGAATTTTTTCAAAGCATTTTATTTCTCTCCCTTTCTTTTATGTAATATGGCAGCCACCCAAGTCTATGGTTATCTAGTGAAATTCTCTGGATAAGAGAGGCAATTTACATAATATATATGGGAAAAAAGGGGGAAACAAGGGGAAAGCTGAAAATGGAAAGTTGTTTCTTATAATACAGTACAATTCTTAAATATCTATATCTAAACTGCAGTACATATAAACTGTGTAAGTTATGCACAGAACAGATATATATTATTTGAACATATTTTTGAGGCAAGATTAGTTATTTGTAGTAAAAAATCTCTAGAAGCTTTCTCAATTATTAAAGATAGTAATTTGCCTCAGTTTGGATTTGATACAATGGTAGAACAAGAGCATGTGTTAATTCTTACACATTCAATTTAGCTTTATGTCCAGTAAAGTCACTTGGCTTGTTCATGTCTTATAAAATTAATGCAATGAGTAATTTATGCATTTATAAATGTGTGCTATATGCATGTTAAATTGTGTGTGTATTTATTGATGATTAAGAAAAATAGTGCACATTCTGGCAGAGAGAGGTTCTCTGAAGATGGGCTCCAGTACGAGTCCAAAAGCTTGGATGACTAAATCTATTGGAACTCTAAACCCAGTGACCAACCCAGACTGGATCCTGCAGCATAAAGAAAAGTATATATATATATATGTAATATCTATTGTTCTTCTTTCTTCTCCTTCCCTTCCAAAGCAAGGCAGATGCTTTCCTCAAGCAGGTTTCTTAAAATGAAATTTCTTTCATTCTAGTCACCTGCCCATAGTTATTCAAGCTATGATTCTGGCAAAAATGAAAACATGGACAGAGGTGCTGAAGATCTCTCCCTGAACCGGGGAGAAGAAGATGATGATGAGCATGATGATCATGAAGATACTGAAAAAGTCAATGAATCTGATGGGGTTGAAGCTGAGCGCCTGAAAGCTTTTAATGTGAGTTATATGATTCTTCTTATGGCCTTTGGCATTTTATTTAGTTTTTTATCTATGATTTGGGTCATATGTATATGGGTTAATGTGAGAATTAAACAGATGTATTTTTTTTAAAAAAATGCAAGGGAATGTCTCCCTTTTTTACTGACTATACATAAAGGCTGCAATCCTATACCCACTTGCCTGGGAGTAAGCCTGACTGCACTGAATGGAACTTACTTCTGAATAGACATGTATAGGATTGTACTTAGATAGGATTTTCAATGAGATACCAAGTTCATCTAATTTAGCTATTTAATCATCATCTAAAGGAGAAATTTCAGCTTTGTATTGTGCATGTGTATGTATGTGTGTGTATGTCCAGCAAATGAAGGCAGTAGGAAGGGAGCTTCTAGGTTGTTGATTCCACTGGTCAGCTATTTTCTATTATTTTTCAAATTTTATATAATTTTGCATGACAATACACACACCATAAAATGTTCACAACAGGGGAAGAATAAGAGATAAGGGTTCTACAGACCAATAAAGCAATTCTAGCACATTGTTAATAAGAGACATGAAATGGTGCTTATTTTTACAATCTATGTTTTATTTTCCTCATGATTTCTATACACTATAATCTAATCTTTTCTTGTCTTTTGTCAGCCCTTAAATAAAATCCTTGGTTGCTTAACATTTCTGGCTTTCCATCACAAAGCTCTTCACTGTGTTTTTAAAAATAAATAAATTAAAAAACAGTCTTCCTATCTGTAACTCAGACAGGAAGCTTAGAAACCAAGTACCCCTCCAAATCCTTCTCCTCTGTCTCCCTCTTATCAACAGATGTTTGTCAGGCTGTTTGTAGATGAAAACTTGGACCGAATGGTCCCAATTTCTAAGCAGCCCAAAGAAAAGATCCAGGCTATCATTGACTCATGCAGGCGACAATTCCCTGAATATCAAGAGCGTGCCAGAAAGCGCATACGTACTTACCTCAAGTCCTGCAGGCGGATGAAAAGGAGTGGTTTTGAGATGGTGAGTTTTGATTTAAAACCCAGCCCTAGTTTTCATCAAAACCCCCATATGTAAATCCATGACACTATTTTGTTTCCATCTTAGTGTCTCTTTTTATTTGTTTTTTTTGGTACTGTCAGGTCAGAGGTTTTTCTCCTCCTTTCATCCCCTTTTCTTTGTACAATGCACTTGAAATGCTTTGCCAAATAAAGCACACATTTATGTCTAATATAAATTTATCAAAATGGAGGAGCACCACAAGATATAAAGGAAGAAGAAACACATAAAAACAAGTTTCCTTCATCTTTTTATTATTCTAACATTTATATGACAGAATGCTTAGGTAATCTGTTTCGTAAATTAATTAATTTAGTATGCATATACTTGCCTATGCTTAATTAATGATTGTCCTTTAAGGTTGTCCTGCTTCAAAAATCATTTGGAAGAAGTGTTTGAACCTTGTGTGAGCACAATAATTCTCATTAAGGTACACAGAATTTTCTCAGGGTTCTGTGTGGCCTGAAAAAAGATGTTGCTGGTTTAATAAATTAAAACAAAGTTTTTCGTGTGACTGAAATATATGCTGTAATAAGTAGTACAGAGCTACTGTACTTGTGCAAGATCTAAATCGTGTTGAAGCAAGCACAACCCTTTAAGGTGCTGTGATTTTTCATTTAGATAAAACATATTTTAAAGTATACTTACCAATTTATTTATGAGTTTAAATAAAACAGAGAGCCTTTTTCAATCTGTCAGATTTCTTGGAAAAAGAGATATATAAAATATAAATGAATGTTGGATAGTGGCTGTAAATGAACCATGCTTTTATTTAAATGTCTCATTGAAATTAAATACCAAAACACATTTTATATGACATAGAAGGACAAAAGAAAAGCCCTGATGAAATTATTATTGTTAGCACTTCTATCAAAAGACCAAAAATTCAAACTCCAAATTCTTCCCTTCCCTGCTTTATTCCAAATGCCATTTTTATTTCAAATGCAATTTTAAGAAATACATGAAACTTCCTTCCTTCCCTTTTCTTTCCTTCCTTCCTTCTTTCCTTCCTTCCTTCCTTCCTTCCTTCCTTCCTTCCTTCATTCCTTCTCTCCATTTCAGAACTTCAGATGATTATGTTCAAAATAAAGGAACACATCTGCTAAAATTATTAGCTTAGGAAAAGAAATAAAACAAAATATTACTACAACCAATTGCATTTGTATCATACACATTTCATACATTGGTACAGCTTTTCACAAAAAGTAATGGCTAGTTATAAACAAAGGAAACAAGATATTAAGGGTGATGAAAAAGTATATGTTCGGTCACATGCCAAAATATTTTATATATAAACATATATATATGTTTTCGTAGATTTTCATGGGTGTAGGTATGCTGGTGTTGTATTTGGGTCTTTTCCCATGTAAGATTGAGATTGTCTTGGCAATGTTTCGGCAAGGTCTGACTCGCCATCTTCAGGCTGGGTTTTGGGTTTAAAGCCCAATATATATATTGAGATATATAGTAATTTGAAATAATGGCAAGTGCATTTAGAAAATATAATGTTCTACTTTTACTTTTATTTGGTTTAAGTTATTTAATAGAATAAAAATATTTGTGCAATTGTCTGATTTTGGTAACTTTCCTGTCTTCTTTGGACAAATTTTCTGTAACTTGTTTCATGTTCTACTAATACATGGTCTCAAAAGTGTTGCATATTCATAATTTTTGTAAGTCATACTGACTGTTATATATTCTAAGAAAATGCAGGCATTCTTACATGCAAATAAATAGGTAGATGAAGTATTGGTAATGCTCCAGCATTAACAAGAGTTAGATAGCTTGTACAATTGAAAGTATCAGGCTTTATAAATTAGAAAGCATGGAAATAGATTGAAGGAAGTTGGGATAACAGTTGACAAAGGAATGCTTATCACCTAGGCAGGGATGTCAAACTCGGGTCACCACAGTGGTGTCACGTGACATATTGGGACTTTTTCTCCCTTTGCCCTAAACCAGATGTGGGTGTGGGCGTGGTCAGCACATGACACATCCGGCCCATGGGCTGGGAGTTTGACAGCCCTGACCTAGGCTGATCTCTAAAGCTAAACAGCATCAAACCTGATTAGAACTTGGATGAAAGATATTGTTGCTCTTTGCAAGAAGTGACTACTTCCTGCTGAACAAGCAGAGTTTGTTGCAGAATCTGGAGGAAAATAAGACTGCCATTGTCTAGGGATAAAGCTCAGTGAAGAAGTGGATTAATTCAAGTTTGGAGGGGAAATTTAGGAGGAATATACACAACAGATTTTCTTTCCTAACTTGGCCTTAGGTAATTGGCTAACTTGAGAGACCAGGCAAGGAACAAAAGTAAGTCTTTCTTCTGGTGAAACTTTTCTAAATCTTTATTTTCAACTAACAAAGGTGTGTGTATGTAGGTGTGTGTGTGTGTGTACTGCAGTGGTGGGTTTCAAAAAATTTTGGAACCTCTTCTGTAGGTGTGGCCTGCTTTCCACGTGTGTGTGTGTGTGTGTGTGTGTGTCTGTCTGTCTGTCTGTCTGTCTGTCTGTCTGTCTG